GTATATATATATATAGAAGAGAGAGAGAAGGAGAGTTAAGCATTAAAAAAATTAACACCTGTTAATTGAGGAAATATATAAATCTCAGAAAAGCTTAGAAAATAAAGAGTCTACGTTTTCACAGTAGAGATTTTAGTATTTTTCTCAACAATATTTTCCCCCATAGTCATCAATTATAAAAGAGTTTTGTTTTCTGAAGATTTATTTATTTGGGATGCCTGGGTCGCTCAGTTAGGTCTCCGCCTTTGGCTTGGGTCATGATCCCAGGGTTCTGAGTTGAGTCCCATGTGAGGCTCCCTGCTAGGTGGGGAGCCTGCTTCTTCCTCTGCCTGCTGCTCCCCTGCTGCTCCCTCTGCTTGTGCTCAGGCACTCTCTCTCTGACAAATAAATAAATGAAATCTTTAAATAAATAAAGATTTATTTATTTATTTTGAGAGAGAAAGAGAGCATGGGCATGGAAGGAGGGGCAGAGGGAGAGAAAGTCTTAAGCAGACTCCGTGTTGAGCACAGAGCCCAATGTGAGGCTCGGTCCCACCACCCTGAGATCATTAACCTGAGCCAAAACCAGGAGTCAGACGTTTAACCAACTGTGCCACCCGAGTGCCCCTATAAAAGAGTTTTTAAATCCAGCTTTTAAAGTATTCTTTGTAACTGAACTTCGAAAGATTCTTCTTTCTTTTCCCCCCTGAAAATTGCATGTGGTAGTTTCATGGTTAAATTTTCATGAGGAAATATTAGTAGTCTTATGAGTTCCTTTGTTATCTGGTGCAGGAGCCTGTAAAACAGGATGAAAACCTACTAGAAAGCTGCATTGTGTCCTTACAGGCTGGGTTTAATGCTAGTTTTTCAAGACAGAAACTTAGCGGTTACACTGAATGATTTAATGGAAATTGTCTTCAATAGTGATTTTAGAGAAAGAGAGACTGAAAATCTCATACTGTGTGTGATCTTCACATACCGATTTCTCTTATCAGTTGGATAAAAATGGAAGGCAGGAAGATAGCCAGTTCAGAGAAGATGATCTGGTAAGATTTTGTTGCATACTCTTTCCCCCAAATACCAGGCTACTGAGCTGGAGATAGTGGCTTAGTTAGGAGCTCCTTGATTTTCAGCCCATTGTTGCAGAAGGTCTGCAAATCTGTTCTGTGGGGATAGGATAAACAATGCATCTCACACAGGTATGGACTGCTGTAGATAGAGTGGTGACTAATTAAATGCAAATGAATTCAAAACCATTATTGTGGTCATAGTTGCTTGTTATAATTTTTTCCCCATCATCTGTTATTTAAAGAACAACTACTTTGACAAAATGATGGGAACCACTGTCTCAGACTGAAGTTTGATCACTTCTCTTTACTTAAGGCTTTTTTTGCTTATTGTTCTGGCAAGCAGGTGGCTCAAGGTGTTAGACTTTCAGGAGGGTTTGTTGTGTATTTTTTCTTTCAGCTATTCTGTCCTTGGTATATTTTATTTAGTGATCATGGACTGAGTACTGAGCCTGTGCTAGGCCTTGTACTGGGTGCTGTTAAAGTAGATCAGGAACTCGCAAACTAGTTGGGAGACTGAAGCTACGTAAATGCGACAGAATGAAGGGGCTGCTAAGCAGAAGTATGTACTAAAAATTTTATGGGGACAAGGAGATATATGGAGAAAGATGGCAGCTAGGCTGTTGGGGGAAAGGTGGGAGAAGAGTGTTAGAAGCAGAGAGCTCAGTATGAACAAAGATGTGTTTGTCTGATGGACTTTGGAAACTCTGGACTACTCCAGGTTCTGGAAACTGCAAGTAATTCCTTGGGACAGGACCTTGGGTGGGACTTTGGGGTCAGGGGTGGGGGTGGGGGGACATAGTGATAAGACCCCGCTAAGAAGCTTAGAATTGGTCTTAAAGGCCTCAGGCAGCACCTGGGGGAGGGTTCCTAACAGTGCTCTGCTACCAACTGAGAGATAGGGCTGTTTTTCTGTTGTGAAACTTGGGGACCCAAAGCGGTGTTTTTTCTGCTTAGAAGGTTGTCTCCCACCCCATCCTGTCCTGCTCTTCTGCGTGGAGGTAAACCTATTGCAGATGCCAGGTTTTTTTTTTTTTTTTTTCTTTCCCACTCAGAATTCACATAATTACTTAGACAAGAGCTATGTTGGGACATTCCATTTTCAGGTCTTTTAGATCTCGCTGATTTTTTTTTTTTTTCCCACACTCTACATGGAGCTTGAACTCATGAGTCTGAGATTAAGAGTCTCATGTTCTACTGACTGAGCCAGCCAGGTGGCCCTAGATCTTGCTGATTTTATGTCTACGTATTCTATTTTGGCTGAGAGAGGTGCTTTGAAGTCTAAATGTAATTGTGGATTTGTGTATTTCTCTTTTCAGATCTGTGATATTGCTTTATGTATTTTATGTATTTTGAAGCTATGTTGTTGGAGGAATACACATTTGGAATTGTCTTCTTGGTGAATTAACCTCTTCATCATTATGTAATGTCCTTTTTTATCCCTAGCAATATTACTTTTTTTTTATTTATTTTTTTATTAACATACAATGTATTATTAGCCCCAGGGATACAGGTCTGTGAATCGCCCCTAGCAATATTTCTAATTCTCAAGTTTTAGTCTAATGTTAATAATAGCTACTCCAATTTTCAATCAGTGTTTGCATGGTTTATTTTTTCCTATCTTTTCCTATCTTTTTATCTATAACCTTTTAACCTATCTTTTTATACCTATAACCTACTGAGCCACCCAGCCGCCCTCCAATGTCTTTATATTTAAAGCTGGTTTCTCGTAGACTACATGTTGGGTTTTGCATTTTAATGTAATCTGTCCGCGACTGTCTCTTAATTGGTATGTTTAGATCATTTCCATTTCATGTTATTATTGGGATGGTTGGATTAAAATCTTCCATCTTGGGGCACCTGGGTGGCTCAGTGGGTTAACCTCTGCCTTCGGCTCAGGTCATGATCTCAGGGTCCTGGGATCAAGCCCCGAATCGGGCTCTCTGCTCAGCGGGGAGCCTGCTTCCCCCTCCCCTCTCTCTGCCTACATCTCTGCCTACTTGTGATCTCTGTCTGTCAAATAAATAAAAATCTTAAAAAAAAAAACTTCCATCTTGCTAGTTGTTTTCTGTTTTCTATTTGTTGCTTGTGTTTTTTTTTTCTGACTTGTTAAAATTTTTTTTTGTTTGAGTATATTTGATGCACAATGTTATATTAGTTTCAGATGTACAACATAGTGATTCCACAATTCCATACATGCTCACCATGAGAAGTCTAATTACCATCTGTCACCATACACTGCTATTACAATATTATTGACTGTATTTTCTATGCTGTAATTTTTAAAAAGTGATTTTATTTATTTATCTGAGAGAGGAAACAAGACAGAGAGAGAGGAGAGTGTGAGCGGCAGAGGAGCAGAGGAAGAGGGAGAAGCAGCCTCCCCACTGAGCAGGGACCCAGATGCAGGTCAATCCCAGAACCCTGGGATGATGACCCCAACCCAAAGCAGAAGGCAGATACTCAACCAACTGAGCCACCCAGGCTCCCCACCTATATTTTACTTTTATATATGCTATAAATCCACAATTCATTGCTACTATTTTTACTTGAGGCAGGTGATTATATTCTAAAGCAAATAAAAATAGCCACCCAAAAAGTTTTTTTTTTTCCAAAAAGTATTTTTTTATATTTACCTCAGATCATTTGACATCATCCTATAATTCTCGAGGGCTCCATTCTATTTTTTTTTTTTTCAATTTTTTCCACTTTGGCTCTTATGGTTTTCATCTCTCTGCTAAAATTTCATATCTGTTTCTGCATGCTGTCTAACTTTTACATTAGAGTGTTTAATGTATTAATCATAGTTATTTTAAATTCCTTGTGGTTCCAGTATCTGGGTCATCTGTAAGTCTTGTCCTGTTGATTACTTTGCTTCCTTAATTTTCTTTTTTTAAGATTTTATTTATTTATTTATTTATTTGGTAGAGAGAGAGAGAGAGAATGAAGATGCCTTTGGGCAGGAGGAGGGACTGAGGGAGAGGAGGGAGAGAATCCCACTCAGACTCCTTGCTGAGTGCAGAGCCTGACATGGGCTTCATCTCACAACCCTGAGATCATGACCTGAGTCAAAATCATGAGTTGGATGCTTAACCGACTGAGCCACCCAGGTGCCCCTGATTACTTTGCTTCTTGATAGTAGGCTGTTTCTCTTGCCTTTTGTTGTGTTGCTTGTAATTTGTTACTGATTGCTAGATATAGGACTTAAAACAGTAGAGAGTGAGGCAAGTCTTTATTCTGGGTACATCTCTTCTTTTGTAGGCTCTTAGAGTGGGAGTTACAGTCGGTTAGGAGATGAGTTGGGTTTGGGTTTTGTTGTTATGGTTAACTTAGGTGCACATGGGAGCTTCAAATTCCTAGGTTTCGGATGGGTTTGCTGGAGGGAGGGCTTTTCCTCAATGTTTATGCTTTACCCTCAACTTTAGGTCTTCCTTTTGTTGCTGGGTGCTTGCTTACCTGGTGGTGGGGAGCAGGGATTCTCTTGTTGTCTTGGTTCAGCCTCAGTGTTAGGCAGGCCCTGTTTTTCTGGGTCTGGGGGGAAGAGGGGTGAAGATCTTTCTGGTGATCTTCTTCTTGCCTCAGAGGTAGAACACTTCTGGTGGTCCGGGTCAGAATTTCCTCTTTCCTCCAGGCATAAGGGTTGTTTTATTTTTCTTTTACTCTGCCCCAGCTGCCTCCCTTTCTCCAAGGGTGTAAATTTTTATTCTTTAGGAAAGACCTTTGCATTTTTCCCAGAGTACTGATTGCTTTTCTTCTCTAGGCTAGCACTACTGAGAAGCGGTCTCTGGTCTTCTACCTAGTATTTTTTTTTTTTAAAGATTTTATTTATTTATTTGACAGAGAGAGAGATCACAAGTAAGCAGAGAGGCAGGCAGAAGCAGATCAGAGAGCTCCATTCAGGGCTCGATCCCAGGACCCTGAGATCATGACCGAAGCTGAACTGCCTAGTATTTTTTATGAACATCCAATCCACTGAGGTCTGTGGAGAAAAACCTCTGACTGTCTATGCTCTTGCTAACCCACACAAGACCTTTAGTAATTCATTAAATTGTACCTGAGGTCTTCTTACTTGCCTACATGTTGGTCGCATCATTCTCCGTGTGCCACAGGTGAACCAGAGCTTGCATCTCTACAGGGAGGTGCCTGTTTTTCCTTAAATTTCAGTCCAGTAGGTTGTCCTGTAACCTCAGCTCTCTGATGGCTTCAAGAAAAGTTACGGTTTTGTAGATTATTTGTTTTTTTCTTGTCATTGGAGTTGGAGTGATGCTTTTCCCAGCTTTCTGTATCCTACATGGATAGTTAGAAGCCACGGCAATTCCATTTTATACTAATTTTGTTTTCCTGTGAGATTAATTTCTCTCCTTCCCTGTGATATTATGAATAAATAAGTATTTGGTCTTCATCCACTGTTTCTAGACACAGTTCCTGTAATTTCCTATATAAGAGCCATAGGGGCATTTTCTGTTATAATATTTGCTTTTGCTCTCAATTCCTGAAATAGCTCCAGGGCAATGAAAGTGAAATGGATGTCTTTTGTTATTTATATAACAAGCCCCTTTCAACCTGCCTCTCAGTTTTTGTTAATGAGGTGATTTTTGGAAAGCATCCAGATCTTCTGAGGATGGGGGCTAGTTGCTAGAGGAACCAACTGTGTAATTAAGTGGTTGGAACTTTCAGTGCAGTCCGACCTTTGGGGAAGGGAGAGAGGGGCTAGAGATTGAATCAATCACTAATGGCCAAGGATTTTAATCAGTCATGCCTTTGTAATGAAGCATCCATAAAAACCCAAAAAGGACAGAGTTTGGAGAGCTTTCGGGTTGGTGAACAGGTGGAGGTGCTGGGTGAGTAACTTGTCCAGAGAGCGTATGGAACTCCACACCCCTTCCCATATGCCTTGCCCTATGCATCTTTTCCATCTGGCTGTTCCTGAGTAATATCCTTTTATAATAAACTGGTAATCTAGTGAGTAAACTGTTTTCTTGAGTTCTGTGAGCCATTCTAGCAAATTAATTGAACCCAAGGATGGGGTAGTGGGACCCTCCAGTTTATAGCCAGTCAGTTGGAAGCCCTGATAACAACCTGTGCTTGTATTTGGCATCTGAAAAGGGGGCAGTTTTGTGAGACTGAGCCCTTAACCTGAGGGAGCTCCAGGTTAATAGTGTCAGTGATGCAGTTTTGGAATATAGGTGAGGTTTGGTGGGGTGAGGTCTGGAGCCAGCAGCCAAGAAAGAATTCTTGAGACATCTTTGGTGCAAAATGCTGGTTTTATTAATGCATGGGGACAGGGTCCTTGGGCAGAAAGAGCTGCCCTGGGTGAACATTATACTCTGCCTGCCTCAAGTCATAAGGACACTTAATTTTATCTACCTTTCCTTCTGGAAGTTAGGTTATTGATAAGAATGCTTTTTTCTTGTAAATCACTAAGACATTTGTAAACTCCTGTCCTGCAGAACTATATCTCTATAAATTAACCATTTGTTTTTCCTTCCCTTAGCTTCAGGGCAGTCAGGAGTGCTGAGGAATGTCACATATATCCCACCTTAGGGGTGGGGGTTGTGGGGTGTCAGCTTGTGCTTTGTCCTCAGCCTGTGCTTTGTCCTCAGCTTGCCTTCTGCTCCCTCATCATCAGGATTGAGTTAAATTGGTGTTTCCAGATTGTTTGATGTGTAGAAAACCCATACTCTGGTATCAGAGATCCAAAAAGAATATGTGAGAGCCCCAGCCTCCTCTCCCCATTTAGCTAGGGTCTGACTGAATAGAGGGGAACCTGAAGTAGTCTCTGGGACCAGGTTTCTCTGCTCGCCTCTCTGTTGAGTTGGGTGGAAAAAGGCAATCTAGGTCTGTAACTGACTCATGTGAGAATATAGGCTCCTCTGCTATTTCCAAGTTTGTTTTCATGGTTGCTTTGGCTCACCTGACGGACACGTGAAAACAAGTATGTACCCACATGCCTGTGCCTGCATAGGAAAACCTGCATGGCTTGGTGCCAAGAGTGAAAGAAGAGTGGTGTGCCTTAAAGCCAGGTCTTATCTAAGCAGAGGTAGGCTGGGAGTGAGGGAAGGCTTGCTAGTGCCCCCAGAGGAGTGTTTTCACTTATCTCCAGTGCAGACCCTGGCAGGGGACCGGGACAGGTAAGGCAGGAGTTTTGGATAGAGCTGTGGCGACTGAACTTTTCCCTGAGAACTGCTTACTCTTGAGTGGCTATTCCCTCACTCTGAGCTCCGGGAGGTGAGTTTCTGGCACTTCTATCTTTATTGAGCAGATGAGAGGCTTCTGGGAAGATGATGTACTGATCTCATTCTTATCTCTGAAGTTATCTCTGTGACCTTAAAAGACTGATTCTTGGGTGGGAATCGTATGGCTTACAGGAATCCTTTATCCAGAAGATGAGGTGGGAGTAAGTAGGTGATCTGACTTCCTGATTACTGGGGCACAGGGATTGGGAGCAGGAGAAGTTCATGCTGAGTGCAGATTCGGGAAGGTGTGTGTCTTCCTCTGACAGATTCTGGGTTCTTCATATATAAGTTGTTGTGGAATCTAACTTCTTTGAGGTTTCTGGACTGGCTCAACTCTAAACCAAAAGTAGGGGTATGTGCCATCTCCCCATGGGATGCCTTCTAATGCCAGGTCTGTGGATAAGAGAAGCCACATAGCTCTGACTGGGTGTCACAGTTTCTGGGTCCTGTTCTGGGAGAATCTCTTTGCAACCCCAGATGGTAGTGAGGGGCATACTAAGGAGGAAAACAAATAAACTTATAGCAGTCAAGCCCCATGTTAGGGTGCCCTCTGGATGTTCTTTCTCCATCGTGTCTTAATTATATTCTCTCTCTTTTCTGGGCACTTTGGAAAAAGATGTATTGAATGGACAAGCAGCAATGTAGGAAATATGATTGGTGTTGTAGACACAGCAACACACAGGTGTGTATTTTCATGAAGGTCCTTTGTTTGTTCTAGTCTTTGCAACAGCTCTGGTCTTCGCATCTTCCTAGCCTTTCTTGCCACCTGCTCATGTTCTTTGCCGGCCTGAGAGTAGTTACAGACTTGTCCACATGTTGCTGGATACTGCAGAAGTTCCTGTTTATGTTTGGGGGAGGTGAGTGGGTATGGGCAGTGAGAGATCTATCAGGCTGACTAGGGCTGTGAACCTGGTAGTGAGAGTCTGGTCTTTGCAGGACAGGTTTGTAGGTTTTAAAATGGTAAGACCATTGGCCGCCTGGGTGGCTCAGAGGGTTAAGCCTCTGCCTTTGGCTCAGGTCATGATCTCAGGGTCCTGTGATCAAGTGCCGCATCAGGCTCTCTGCTCGGCGGGGGGCCTGCTTCCCCCCCCCCCACCTGTCTCTCTGCCTACTTGTGATCTCTGTCAAATTAATAAATAAAATCTATAAATAAATAAATAAAATGGGACAGCCAGACCAACAGTACACCTCAGGGAGAATCCATGCTATGGATAAACCTAATGCCAGCCTACCCTCTGTGTTAAGCCAACTTCCAACTTCCAAGTCTCTGTTGTTGGAAGTTGCCATCAGCTGAGCTCTCACAGTTATCTCTTGGGAGCACTAGTTATCTGCCTACCTCCATTTATTTCTCTGTGTCTTGTGGTGGAAACGGATACAACCTCATTATATTTAAGTCTGTGTGTAAGGCATGCTGTTCGTAAAAGGTTGGCTTTGCCAGTCTAAACCAGAGACTCACCAGCTTCTGCCCTAAACTAACATACTTATATTCTTTGATATTCTTTGCCAGGCCACAGTAAACACAAGTGTGAAGGAAACATTTGCCATGGAAGCCAGGGAACTGGAGAGCCCCCCACCAGCCTACCATCTTATTCCAGAGGCCAGCCAGCCCAGGGAAGATGTCAGCATGAAGCCTCAACAGACTGCAGAAACTATGCAGCTAAAGAAGGAGATCTCGCTGTTGAATGGGGTCAGCTTGGTGGTGGGCAACATGATCGGCTCAGGAATCTTTGTCTCACCCAAGGGCGTGCTGGTATACACTGCCTCCTATGGGTTGTCATTGGTCGTATGGGCCATTGGTGGGCTTTTCTCTGTTGTTGGTGCCCTTTGCTATGCAGAGCTGGGGACCACCATCACAAAGTCTGGGGCCAGCTATGCTTATATTCTAGAGGCCTTTGGGGGCTTCATTGCCTTCATCCGCCTGTGGGCCTCCTTGCTAATTGTTGAGCCCACCAGTCAGGCCATCATTGCCATCACCTTCGCCAACTACATCATCCAGCCCTCGTTCCCTACCTGTGATCCCCCGTACCTGGCCTGTCGTCTCCTTGCTGCTGCTTGCATATGTAAGTATGGGGTTTAGTGGGGGAGTATGTTTGAGGGTGTGGGTTCCTTTGGTAATGGTAATGGTACGTGATACTTGAACACCGTATTTTGCTTTTGGGAGGAGGGGGAAGAGAGGCATCTTACCTTTTGTCTCTTTTTTTCTTTTTAAAGATTTTATTTATTTAAGAGAGAGAAACTGGGCAGGAGCATGGTGGGAGAGGGACAGGGAGAGGGAGAGGGAGAGGCAGATTCCCTGCTGAGCAGGGGGCCAATGTGGGACTCAATCCCAGGACCCTGGGATCTTGACCCAGATGCTTAACTGACTGAGCCACCCAGGTGCCCTGCATTTTACCTTTTGAAGAAGTAATCTCACCAAAGTCATTTAACCCTGAGAGATAAGTAAGGGTAAAGGTTAGAGATGAGAGAAGTTTGAGTCTTTTTGTGACTCTTGGTGCCTCATATTCCTTCTATCTTGACTCTTCCAGAGTTCTGTTCCCCAGTCTATGCGACAGGTTGGTGCATGTCTTACTTTTGTCTTATCAGATGTTTTGATTGGAGTCAACATCACTAGTTGTAACTTAACCCAGAAAAATCTATTAGTGCTGAGGACTTTATCCTGCTTCTCAAAAATAAGTTACTTTACTTCCCAGTTTAAACCAGTTTAGAGTCTGAGGAAAGAGACTTCTCTAGACTGTTGGGGTCCCAAGGTGTTACCCTCAGCCTACAGGACCACTGTTTCCTGCCACTGCCACTCTTTGCAGCCCATTCTAAGCAGCAGGCACCACACCAAAATGGCTTTTTCTCACTGGCGTTTGAGTTTTCTTTTTTTAAAAAGATTTTATTTATTTATTTGGAAGAGAGTGCAAGAGAACAGGGAGAGAGAGAAGGAGGGAGATCATGAACAGGGGGAAGCCTAGAGAGAGAAACCAACTCTCCGCTGAGCAAGAAGCCTGATGTGGGACTCGATCCAGGAACCCCAGGATCGTGACCTGAACCAAAGACAGACACTTAACCAGCTGAGCTACCCAGGTGCCCTATATTTGGGTTTCTGAGGTCAGAACCCAGGAGATGCCAGTTGATCCCTCTTTATTTTCCTTTTTCTCTCATGCAGTGGTCAGGAGGGATTCTGTGTGAAATCGCTGAAAAGAAGAGAAGATCGCTATGAATTTACCCAGTCTTGTAGGGCCAGTGTTTTAACTGAGAAGTGGCGCAGAATTCCCTGTGTTCCTTAGCTCTGTGCTGCCAGGAGCACTTAATTATACTCTGTTCTTTCCATATCTCTGCTTGCAAAAGCTTTGGCAGTATATGTAGTTTATCCACAGTGTTAAAAATAGACCGAGAATACCTTGGAGTTAGCAAAAAAGGATTGTATGGTACACTGTGGTTCCTGACTTTAAGGAATTTGTTAAAGACAAATGTTAAAGGGAACCCCTCAACATGTAGCCCCAGGAGGGGGGAAGGTGGGTACTCAGCTGTATGTGTGTTAGGGTCTGGCCAGGGGAACTCTGGCCTGAGTTTTCTAAAAAAAGAAGAATTTTCTGATTATGAAATGTGTTCATTAGGGAGATGAACTTATCCTCAAATCACCCATAATGTACCACCAAAAGATGAACACCCTTAATAATTAAATCATGTCTTCATTTCATTCTTTTATAGAACTGGCATCATACTTTGCATATAACTTTATATTCTGCTTTTTAAGTTTAGTACATCATGTTTTTTGGAATGTTCTTCAAAGAAACATTTTTTAAAGTAGTGTCTTTTTATTTTTATTACTATTATTTAAAGGTAATACATAGACATTATAGGCACTTTGAAAGCGCAAAAAAATGGAGAAAAGAAAAATCACCCATAATTAATTTTTTTATTATTTTATTTTTTATTTTTAAAAGATTTTTATTTATTTATTTGTCAGAGAGAGAGCACAAGCAGCGTGAACAGCAGGCAGAGGGAGAAGCAGGCTCCCCACTGAGCAAGGAGTCCCATGTGGGACTCAGTCCCAAGATGCTGGGATCATGACCTGAGCTGAAAGCAGATGCTTAACCAACTGAGCCACCCAGGCATCTCCACCCATAATTTTAACTTCCAGAGAACTATTGCTACTACTTGTGTGAAATACCTTCTAATGTTTTTTTTCTGTGCTTTTTTTTTTATACATTTTTTTAAGCTGCAGAACTCAATTCCAGGACCCTAGGATCATGACCCAAGTCTAAGGCAAATGCTTAACAACTGAGCCACCCAGTGCCCCTTATCTCATTTTTTAAAAAAAGTACTCTTGAGATTATACTCTCTCTGGTTTGTATAATACTTTAAAAATTTTAATATTTAATCGCTTTCATCAAATATTCTTAGAAAACATGGTTTAGGGACACAGAAGTAGTTTCCTGGCAGTGTGGTATAGTGGTTAAGATCATGGACTCCCATGCCAGACCAGGACTGATTCTAGTTTTACCAGCTGTTTTTCCAGCTGTTTACCTTGAAGGAATTAAACTGTTGCCTTGGTTTTCTCACTTGAAAGTGGAAATATCACTTGTACTTACTAAAAGGATTGTCATGAGGAATAAATGAATCAGTACACATACAGTACTTCTCTGTGTCTGGCATAGAATAAATGCTCTGTATTATTATTATAAACAATATTACTGTGGGAGTCTTTGTATATAAAGATTCAGAGTTTCTGCACCTTTTTTCTATAGGATAGAATTAATTATACAGGAGAAATACCTGTGTCTGAAGAAATAAATTGTTTTAAGATTCTTCATGTGCTACCCAGTTTTCTTCTAGAAGGTTTTGTGAGGGTGTGCTTTTACCTAAGCACTTAAGAGTGCCTGTGCAGTTGGTCTCGTGATGGCCTTAGGGTGAATTCCAAAGATAACGAATCAAAGGACATCTCTATATATAATTTTCATGTACAGAAGATTTTTATTTGGGAAATCTTTTTTCCTTTATGATTTTCTCTATTGCGTTTGTTCTTTTGTCCTTACAAAGCCCATTCCCATACCAGGAACTGCTTTTTTTTTTTTTTTTTTGGCTAGAACTGTTCTTTCGATTGGAGGGGAGACCTCACCTCTTAGAAGTGCAGTCATGGTGTATCTGTAACTTCTTTCATTCAAGTGTACTTTTACCCAGATTACTCACCATCAGAATTCCTTCAAGCCCCTATCCCAGAAGCCCAGGATTTTCCATAATGCATGCCTGCAGGTAGGAACTTGTCAGATATGGGCTTAAATCATAAAACCATGTCCTGTCCTGGGGCACCTGGGTGGCTCAGTGGGTTAAGCCTCTGCCTTCGGCTCAGGTCCTGATCTCAGGGTCCTGGGATCTAGCCCCGCATCAGGCGCTCTGCTCAGCAGAGAGGCTGCTTCCCCACCTCTCTCTGCCTACTTGTGATCTCTCTCTGTCAAAGAAACAAATAAAATCTTTAAATGCAAAACAGCAACAACAAAAAACATGTCCTGTCCTAACTGACAAGACTTTAGGGTTCAGCTTGTTTTTCTTCTTGTAAGTTAGGGTGAAGAATTGGGCTGATGCATCATGTGCTGAAGGGAGTCTCTTTGGGCAGGGATAGCAGTGGTCTTAAGAGACAAAATTGGAAGAAACCAATTAGGTCATAATTAGGGGTAAAAACCACAAAATCTGCGCTGAATCCACTGAGAAATTTAGGTAAGATAGGAGAATTGAGTTAGTCTTGAAATTAAGAAGAGTCCAGGTTGTTTTTTGGAAGACTGTCTACAGAAATTATAGCCATGCAAGCTAGATAATCAAAGTTTAATTCTAGAAGGAAGGGCCCAGACATTCTTCATATAACAACTGCAGGTCAGAGCTGCAAGCTGATGGCCTACAGGCCAAACTTGACCCACAGATATATTTGTTTGTCCTAGTGTTGTAAGCAATTTTGAATTACTTGCCAACGTTTGAAAACCAGGACTTTTCTGCTGAAAAATCAAAAGTTCTGGCAACCTTGGGCCCAGATTCCTTCCTGACAAAATTAGCTGCCTTTGTGTCATGGTTCCTCCCTTTATTTATTTTTTTAAAAGTTTTTAATATTTTATTTATTTGACAGAGAGAGAAAGAGAGCATGGTGAGGGGGAGGGGGAGAGGGAGAAGAAGAAGCAGGGAGCCTGACTGGGCCTGATCCCAGAACACCAAGATCATGACCCAAGCAGAGCCAAAGGCAGATGCTGAACCAGCTGAGCCACCCAGGTGCTCTTGGTTGGTCCCTTCAAAGGAGCACACACTCTTCAGTCTACTATAGCCCTCCACTCCCTCTTGTTTTATACCCAGACATTATTTTTTTAAAGATTTTATTTATTTATTTGTCATAGAGAGAGAGTACACAAGCAGGGGGAGTGGCGGACAGAGGGAGAAGCATGTTCCCCATTGAGCAAGGAGTCCAGTGCGGGCCTTGATCTAGGACCCCAGTGACATGAGCTGAAGGCAGATGCTTAACTGACTGAGCCACCCAGGCGCTCCTATACCCAGACATTCTTGCCTTTGCTCAGTTGCATTACCTTCTTGGCCCTTGAAGGCATCTCTCTCTGACATCCTGGCTTTCCAGCAGCCCCCCCCAACCCTATTCCCAGGTTATACTGGCAGATAGATCTTAGCAACTTTTTTGAATTTCAGGGTATCTTAGCTCTTCATTATCCTAGAACAGTGGTTTTCAACCAGAGGTGAGTTTGCCCCCCTCCCCCAGAAACATTTGGCAAGGTCTGGAGACATTTTTGGTTGTCACATCTCCTTGGAAGGGGTGCTACTAGCATCTAGTGGGTAGAAGCCAGGGGTACTATTGAGCATCTTATAAAGTACAGGACAGCCTCTCACAACTAAGACTTACTCTCCGCAAATGTCAACAGTGCTGAAGTTGAGAAACTCTATCCTAACAGTGCGTTCCATTCATATGTGTTCTGGGATCTTGGAATCTTCTGTGTTGGGTGGGTCCTCAGGCTGCCCACTGGGCTGAGTGTTTTTAGAGGTTCTTACTTACGGAGCGGTAGGGGAAAATGGCAGTTCTTGAGGT